GACAACCCTTTGGCAGTATCTACTAAATGAAGCACATGTGTAATCTGTGACCCAGTGGTTCTCCTCCTAGCTATGTGTCTGATAGCAAATCTGCACATGTGTTCACAAAAAGACGTGAGCAAGAACATTCACAGCAGCATTCTTTTTTTTTCTATTGAAGTATAGTTGATTGACAATGTTGTGTTAGTTTTTGGTGTACAGCAGGGATTCAGTTATACACACACACATTCTTTTTCAAAATAGTTATTACAATCTATTGAATATAGTCACCTGTGCTGTACAGTAGGACCTTGTTGTTTTATCCATTTTATATACAGTAGTTTGTATCTGCTAATCCCAAACTCCTAATTTATCCCTCCCCACCACCGCCTTTCCCTTTTGGTAACCAAAAATTGGTTTTCTATGTCTGTGAGTCCACGGCAGGATTCTTCATAATAAACCCAAACTGGACAGAATGCATCAGCAATAGATCAGATAAATGGTGATACATTCACATAATGACATATTATTAAGCAATGCAAACCAGCAAGCTACCGCTGAGCAACAGTGTGGATGAATCTCACATCAGAGACTAGAATCTTCCCGAAGAACAGACTCGGACAGAAAAAGAATATGAACCGTGCAGCCAATTTAAAAGTTTGGAAACAGATAAAATCGGTGTTCAAACAAAAATTTGTACTTGAACGTTCACAGCAGCACTGTTCATGACTGCCAAACGGTGGAAATGAGCCAATGCCCGTTAACTGATGAATGGATAAAGAAATGCAGTATCAAGACACCAAGGAATGTTATTCAGCCATAAAAAAGGGCTGAAGTCCTGACACAGGCTACAACATAGATGAACCTTGAAAACATTCTGCTAAGTTAAGGAGGCCAGACACAAAAGGCCACACATATTTTGCGCTTCCATTTATAGGAAACGTCCAGAATAGGCAAGTCCATGGAGACCGAAAGCAGGTTAGTGGTTGCCAGGGGAGGGGCCAAGGAGAATGGAGGATGGGGAGTGATTGCTAATGGGTACACAGTTTCCTCCTGAAAATGTTCCAAAATTAGGTCGTGGTGATGGCTGCACGATATTGTGAGTGACTAATCGCCCCTGAATTGCATGCTTTAAAATGTTTAAGATGATACACTGTGTATGTATTTTATTGCAATAAATGAAAAAAGATAGAGGGTGGGGGGTATAGCTCAGTGGTAGAGTGTCTGCTCAGCAGGCATGAGGTCCTGAGTTCAAACTCCAGTATCTCCATTAATAAAAAATATATATATAAGATAAAACCAATCTTTTATCAATGGTGTTATAAGTTGGGATAGTAGTTATCCTGGGGTGGAGAGAGGGGTGAGTGATTGGGAGGACAGGGTGTCTGGGGTGCTGATAATATTCCTTTCTTTTTAAACCTCGATGGTAGTCACGTGAGTGTGTTCATTTTGTAAAGCTCTGTTGAGCAAAAGAGACAAGTACAGACAATTCTTTCAAGGTGTTTTGCTGCAGAGTGGAGCTCAGAAAGTGGGCAGGAGCTGGTGGGAGAAGCGGGATCAAGGGAGAGAACCATGGCTTTTGTGCACACGAGAATGATCTAGAAAGGGAGGGGGCAATAGATGACAGAGGGAAGGTAAGTGAGAATTGCTTACGCGGTTCCTGAGCGAGGGAGAGGCGATCAGATCTCCTGCGTGAGTGGAGGTTCTGCAGTGAGTCTGTCTAGAGTAACAAGCAGGAAGCTGATCACACAGGTGTCAGTGGGTGAGGAGAGCAGTGGAGAGTCTGCTGAAGTTCACTCTGGGTTTATTACCAGGGTTACTGCCCCCGATATACTGATGAGCAATCTGAGACTCGGAGAGAAAAGAAGATTGCTCATGATCACACAGCTGGGGCCAGGAGTAGAGCCCAGGTCTCCCTGACGCCAGGTGCGCAACCCCGCACCCCAAGTGCAAGTCTGCCTCTCGGCTATGCAAAGAAGCACTTTCGATTGTTTGCCCTGAAACAACATCTCAAACGTTTAGGAGTCGCACCCTCAGCTTCTAAGGGTTCTGGGATTCGAGGAACAAGTCTGTTCTGTCTTGTGGATACGCCTTATCATATAGAGGACTTCACTTCGTCCCCTCGTCGGCCTCCCTCTTTCCCAGCTGAAGAATTCTAAGTGTGGAGCTTGCCCTGATGGTAAGAGCTCTTCATCACGCCATCCTCTGGCCTTTCTCCAGTTCTATTACGTCTTTCTTGGAATGCAGAGGCCATAACAAGAGAAACCACAGTGGCAACCATTTTGAAGAGCGTTTTGCAGGGACAAGGGCCCCATTTATACATTCAAACCGATGGTCAGCGAGCCTGCGGTTTGCCCAAGGTCACACAGAGTGTCAGCAATAAAGGAGAATTCCAATTGCTGCGCTCTCTCCCCCACACCCAACTGCCTGCATGCAGGACTCAGAGGGGCCCATGTCATCAGTCAGGGCACATTCAGCGGCAAGAGACCAGGAGCGGGAAAGTCACATCCAATTGGCTTAAAGCAATAAGAAGGATTTATTGAGTTACATAACCGCAAGTCCTAAAGCAGGCAGGCTTCTGGATTGGTCAACAGGGACTTGGAGATGTCATCATGGTCCCAGTTTTGTTCTGTCTTGCCACCCACAGAGGCTGTGCTGGGCTGAATGGCAGCCCCCAAAAGATACGTCTCCCTCCCGACCCCTGGACCTGTGAATGTGACCCTTATCTGAAAGAAAGGTCTTTGTAGATGCCATTAAGTTAAGGATCTTGCGACGGATCATCCTGGATGACCCGGCTGGGCCCTACATCCAATGACAAGTATCCTTATAAGAGACAGAAGAGAAGACAGGTGAGTAGCGACAAGCCCAGGATGCCAGCAGCTGCCAGAGGCTGAGAGAGAGAAGGAACAGAGTTTCTCCTAGGGCCTCTGGAGGGAGCACAGCCCTGACTTGAATTTGAACTTGATTTTGAACTTCTGGACTCCAGAACTGTGAGAAAATAAATGTCTGCTCTCTTGAGCCAGCAGGTTCAGGGTAATGTGTTAGGCAGGCCCAGGACATATATATGGAGGACCAGAAATACAATTATTCAGGTCAGCTTCAGCCTGATCCCCATGCCCCACCCCTATGTCCAGGGGAAGGGTTAGCTTCCCTCAAGGTCTGCGAGCAGCACGAGAAAGGGGTGGTGGGCAAGAGGAGGGGGATGGGTGTAAGAGAGGCAACCAGAGGGTGCACCCCAGACACCATGTGCAAGAAAGGTGCCTGAGCATCTGCTCTCTGAGGCAGAGAAGAGCAGAGGAAAGACAGAGGGTACCCCAGATGCGTGATCTTCCCATGTGAAGTTCAAGGTGCAGGGCTACATAGCCCCCAGTGAGTCCTCCAAACCCTGAGAACAAAGCTGAACATCTGGAACACGGAGCACCTTCCTCTTGAAATAGTGGATGGGAAAGGTCTTAGGCACCTACATGTCATTCACGCACAGAGGCCACTCTATCCACCTGGACGGACCGCAAGGTCATCCCAGGCTCCTACCTCTCTCTCGCTCTACCCTTCCAGGCAAGAATCCCTGGCCCAGATCTGGCCTGGCTCCCGTCAGCTCAACCTTCTATCAATAGTTCCAATCCGTCCGCCTCCCTCCATCTCCATAGCTGTCCCCCTTGTTAGGTCCCCATCCTCTGTCACTAGATTACAGCCCCCAGACTGGCCCCATTGGCTCAAGTCTCAGCCTCTTCCTACCATTCGCCACCAGGAACTAGAAAGTTCTGAAAATGAAAACTTGCCCATGTCACATTCCTGTTAAACATGCTTCAAGCCCCCTGGCATAGATTTCAAGGACCCCTGCTTACCTGACTTCATCCCTCACCACATCTCCCAATACACAAGACCTCTCACACCTGGGGATCTTTGCACACACAGCTCCCTCTAGCCCCACTTGCCAGGCCAAGTCTTCCAGGACTCAGCTTCTAGACTGTGTCTTTGAGGGGCTCTCCTTGACCTCCCACCCCTTCTTCTGAGTTCCCGCCACACCCTGGGCTCACACAGTTCTCCTGTGGTGAAGTAAGGGTCCGTTTGTGTGCCATCAACTTCCCCCTAGACTCTAAGCTCCCTGAAAGCAGGAACCTGGTCCATCCTCCGTCCAAAGTACATAGAAGAAGTTTGGAAATCAATTGATGGATAGAAATCAAACCTACACTGGAATCCTTTGCTTCTTCTGTAACAAAATTCATTCCAGACTATTGCCAAATCGAGGTGTTTCAACACCAGCAGAGCAAACGTACAAGCCCAAAAGCTTGGAGTCAGATGACTTGGGTCACATCCCATACTTGTGACCTTTGGCCAGTCTTCTTACCTCCCTGAGCCTCAGTTTCTCTTTCTATAAAATGAGAATTATAAGCCTTATTTCATTGGGAAAACCACTTAGCATATCATCTGGCAGAGGAATGCACAACGATGTAGTTTACTTTCCTTTGCACTTACAGACACTTTGGTTGAAGTCGGCAAGCAGATATTAAGCACTTACTATGTGCCAGACCCTGGGGTAGCTGTTGAGGGTGGTTAGCAATGATGACCCTTACCCTAAATTTCACAGTAACCTTTTCTGAAAAAAAAAGTATCTATCAAATCAGAAGTAAATCCTGCCTGTGAATTTGCAAGTGAGTTTGCCAATCAGCAGGAAACCCACTAACAGGAAGGTAACCCTGAGCCCGCTCCGCACCTCCTCCAGGGCCCCTCACTCTCCCTGTGGATCGCGCGGAGACAGCGCGTCAGTGGGTCTTTACTGCCACCTGCTGGAGAAATTCAGTAAGGCCACCGGCGGGAGCCAGGAGAAATTCAGGCGCCTGCCTTGAGTTGCCAAAACACAGGGCCCTAACTTCTTTCTATCTGCCTCATTTGTTCAACAGCTAATGAGAAGTTGTCCGAGGAAATGGCTTTTGAAATCAAAATTACCTCACCAGAAAAGGGCAAAAAATAATAGTAAAAATAATAAAGAGAAAGAATAAAAAAGGGAAAGCCAACTGTACCTTGCCAGGGTCGGAAGATGGGAGCGTGCCTCCTGGGAAACTTCCCTCTCTGACTCAAAGGGGAGGACCAGAGAACCCTGTAAGGTGGAGAGAAATCTCTCCTTCCGAGACTGTGGCCATGTTTTACTCCCCAGGCCATCAGCAAGGACAAATCCTGGTGAACCGTCCTCCTGCCCAACGACACCTTGCAGGATCTAGCCCCGTCCTGGAACCAGCTCAACAGAAACTGCTGGAAGCTGGGAGGCCTTTCTTTCCAAAGGCCTTGGCTTTGCAGCCAGACTGGCTAAGTCAACAATGCGGGAGCCAGCCGTGCTGCCTGCCTTCCTGTTACACCCTCCAGCTTCTCCTGGGTCTGCCACGCTCACACACACGTGTGCACGCACGCGCACACAGAGTCCTCCAGACCCAGCGTTCTCAGTTATTTGGGTGGGGAATCTGCTCTGGGAGAACGGGGGTGCAGAACCCAGATGGACTACAGCCAAGGTGTTGGAGTTTTTTTCTTCTTCTTCTTTTTCCCTCTTTTTCCATATTCCGACCATCCTGTGAAAAAGTTGGGCCCAAAAATGCAAACTCCGGAAAACCAAGGGCAGTGCAGATATTTACTTAGCCAATGAGTGTGCTTCCGTCTCCCTGGAAGGTGGTCTCAGATTTCCAGGGGGAAGGGGAGCCGTGCTTCTGTACATAAAGAGGGTGTTCTCTGCAGCCTCCGCAGTCAACCCACCCGGCCACCCTGGCGTCTGAGAGCAAAGCTTGGGGGGAACACCATCCACCATACCCCCTGGGGGCTCACGATGACCAAACTGTCCCCACCATAAACACCGTACCAAACTAATGTAGGGGTGCGGCGAAAGGATACATTCCCCCAGACTTTCCCGAAGGGAAGAAGTCGTAACAGACAGAAACCTGCCAGAGCCATGAAAAATACACACACAACAAATCTGTTTGCTCGGCCACAGTACCAAAATGGCAAGTTTTTCATCCAGATAGAAAATAAAAATGAAAAAAAATTATCAGCACTCTGGTATTAATCAGCCTATGAGGAGACTTTCAATGCGGCATCCTCCACCTACCTGATGATCCAGCCCGTGGCCCCCAGCAATTACTCCTTCCCATCTCAACTTCTGTTAACTTCCTATCTCCTGCATCTCAGGTGTTCAAGAAACGAAACTGTCTTCTCTTTGACCATCCCAATTTCTGACCCTGAGTTTCCACCTGGACCCTCTGGGGTTCTCCTCACTCCCTCAAGCAATGCCTCATGTCATCCAATGTCATCTTCACAGGTCCTCCTATCCCACGGCCCCTCTGGGTCCATCAGGTTCTCTGCATGCTCAAGGTCTGGGCATCTTCTGCAAGATGGTCCTGACTGCGTAGAAGCCTAACATCTATCCCTCTCTGGGACCTAACTCCTCAGGGACACACCAGGAAGCAGAGCTCATAATTCCATCTGCTCTTAACATCTCCAGATCTCTCTCTTTTTTCACCATCTTTCTTCTCCTAGCCCAGGGGTTATTTTTTTTTTTTTGGCCTGGGGAAAATTCTTCCTTCCCAAATTTCTTTAAGACTTGTAATCTGTTGGCCCCAAACTCCCTAGCCTCTTTACCAGGAAAAAAATTTTTTTTAATTTTAATTTAAAATCCCTTTTTGTAAAACAAAAGCTAGAAAAATTTCTTGGCTGTTTTCAACCCTGTCACATGCCTCCACTAAGGCAATGAGCCTGCTCTCATGGAAAGAGAGCAAGAGAGAAATAAAGGCACAGCTCAAATGTCATCCAGCCACCCGATAAACACATTTTTATTCTTGTTTCCATCACCCAAGGTTTTTAAAGTGGTCAGCTGTGATTTCTTTCTTGGTAAATGATATTGTCTGAAAAAACAAGAATACGAGTTTCTCTTTTCTCCTTCCTAACAGTCCCATCATACCTGTACTTCTCCAGCAGCCTCTGCCCACTTCTGACAGCAACCCTCCCCCCACCTCTCCAGTCCCTTCTCTCCCATCGCTGCCCCTTCCCCACCTGGCTTGCAATTCTGACAGAAGCTGGCCGGAAGTCACCATGGTCCCCCCAGTCAAGAGAAACAAGAGCATCAGATGCATCCCCCAAATGTGTTAGCCTGTGATGCCCATGTCCTGCACCTGCCCCAAGTCAGTACATTATCCCACACCCCAAAACACCCTCTTCAGCCTTCTCCTTAAGAGATGGCCACTCCCTCTTCCTTAAAACTCTCTTCTCCTTAGATTTGGCTTGAGTAGTGCCCACACTCACCTGGCCTTCCTCCTCGGCCACTGGCCACCGCCTGCCCTTGGGATCCGAGCCTTCCAAGTTACCCTGTAGCTGCTAATGCTCCCCGGGGTTCTGTCCTTGGCTTTCTGTTCCACGTGCCCTCACTGAACAATTTCAACCCCTCTCAATGCTGCAACACCTGCCAAAAGCTCAAAAATCCCCAAACGATCATGTTCCCTTCCCCCTCCTCCTCTTCCTCCTCTTCCCCTTCCCCCTCCCTCCCCCTCCTCCATCTTCCCGCCCCCACTCACCTTCTCCCTCTTAATTCCAGATGCCTGTATGCAATTGCCTGCTGACTGCTTAACCTAGAAAATGGAAAGCCAGAGAGAGGATAAGGTTGCTAATTTCCTACATTTGAAAGAGTGTCAGGACCACAGGGCAGACCAGGACCGCCAAATGGGTAGACTCCAACTCAATAGAAGGAAGAACTTTCCAACCCATGACACTAGCCATCAACGGTGGGTTCCTTCCGAGGTAACGAGCTCCCCGTAACCAGAAGTGAGCCGAGAAGATTCCTGCACACACTTCCAGGCCGAACTCAGCACCATCTGTGTTCTCTCCCTATTCTGAGATTGTAATTCTCAGCTCAGCATTCAGAGATTCAGATATGTAGCAGCTTTTTGGTTGGTTTTAGGATTTTCTTTTTTTTTTTTTTTTTTTGAGTACCTAAAAGTACAATTCTTTGCTACAGGATACTGGTTAGAAATCACTGTGCCATCTTCTTTTTATCCAACTATTTTTTGAATAACCACGATTTGTGATTTATCCAACAAATAATTTGTATCACAAATTCATGTGTCACACACACACTCTAATTTTTAGAGAACAAAAAACTTGGTCATTGACTGAAGGCTTTCAGAGTAAAGCATGGTTTGCAAAGCTCACTGCTTCGGGACAGTGCTGTCTGCTCTATTCCTATACATTGTTTTAAAAAGTAAGTCACTATTAAAAGAATCCTAACTAAATCCTAAAGACCTTTTAAAGGTTCTTTTTTTTTCAATGAGTAGTTTATTTACAATGTCAGTTTCAGGTGTACAGCAAAGTAATTCAGTTACACATATATATACATATATATTTTTGTTTTCAGACTCTTTTCCATTATATGTTATTATAAGAAATTGAATATAGTTCCGTGCACTATACAATATGTCCTTGTTGTTTACCTACTTTACAGAGTTACATGTATCTGTTAATCCCAAACTCCTAATTTATCCCTCCCCCACCCTTTCCGCTTCAGAAAACATTGTTTTCTATGTCTATGAGTCAACTTCTGTTTTGTAAATAAGTTTATTTATATCATCTTTTAGGTTCCACCTGTAAGTGATATCATGTGATATTTGTCTTTCTCTGACTTATTTCACTTAATATGATAACCTCTGGGTTCATCCATGTTGCTGCAAATGGCATTATTTCATTTTCTTTGAATACTTTATTCTTTCTTCACCCTAGCCTGGGATGTTGTCAGTCACCCCTAAACACAACCTGGGCAAATACTGCTCCATAACCAAAGAAGAATGAATTTATGCCCATATTTACTGAACATTTTCAAGCCAGGCGCCATGCTATGAAACAGGGAGGTTGAGGAATAAAACTGTCCTGCCTTCAAAGAGCTCACACCCTAAGGAGAGCGTTGGATCCGTAAGCCAGTGACTGCAGCGAAGGGAGGCACGTGTGGTGATGTTTGTCAGATAGAACAGGGAAGACTGGGCAGACTGTTTCAGAATAACACCTTGTCTTGATTTTAAAAACCGTATTGCAAAATCTGTATTAAAATACCAGAAATAGAAAAGCAAATTGCCATGGGGGAGGGTATAGCTCAGGTGGTAAAGCGCATGCTTAGCATGCACAAGGTCCTGGGTTCATCTCCCAGTACCTCCTCTAAACATAAATAAATAAGCCTAATTACCTCCCCCCAAAAAATAAATTTAAAAAAATTTTTTAAATCTTTAAAAAAATAAAGCAAATTGCCAACACCACCACCATATAATCAAATTGTCTCCATTTGTCCATGTTAACTCTTATCACTTACATATGCAATTTTTTCACGTTTGCAATATTAGCAGAATAGTTTTATAGTCTGTTATTTTCACTTACTGTATCATTAGTGTTTTTCCACGTCCCTACTTTTGTCCCTTACTCCCAACCTTGCTCCCCCCTTGAGATAACCAGTGCTCACAGCCTGGGGAGGGCCCCCTCTACTTCTTTCTCAGTTTGATTCATCTAGAGGCACCGGATCGGTACCTAAATCAGAACAATTGACTAGCGCCCCACCCCCTTTTCTTGTTCTGTCATACCCAAATTTCGGCTGTAAAAGACATTCTAATGTCTTTAAGAGAGTATTGTTTTCTCCATCCTTGCTCCAGCAAACCCTATTTCTCTCCCACCCACTTTGCTGGAAATAATCAGGAGGAACTGCAAAGAATAGCTTTTAAAAAGCAAGAGTCCAAATTCACAACCATCCCGTGGATCATAGCAGCAGAGGCTTGTAATTTTCCTCTGTTCAGTTACTCACACACACGTGCTTTTCTTACTATTTCCTCCTTCCCTCCCTCTGACATATTCGTAACCTCCCCACCTCATGAATTCTGCTTTTACTCAGATTCAGCTGCCTCGTAACCGCACGTGGGCCCACAGAACCTGTCAGTAACACCTCTATTTGGCCATTCTGCCATCCTCCCCAAGTCCCCAGCGGTTCTTGGCTCAGTTTCTCAAGTGCACCTTTTCATGCCAGACACTCCCTGCCTAATCAGCTGTGGCGCTGGGGGCAGTAAAGCAAGAGTGGTGGGGTAATGTGGTCTATAACTGCGAAGGAACAGTGGAAGGAACCATTTCTTTAACCCTCGGGCTACCTTGGCCATGAGGGCTCCTCGCAGCCAAAGCCACTGTCCTCCCTCATGAGGTCCTGCCTTATTCTCACACTTCTTGTGGGGTCTTCCAAAAACAGCTTAAGTGATTTTTTATTGAAATGCTGTGGGGTTGGCTCAGATTTCAGATCGTAAACTTGTTCTTGATTCAGCTTCAATCAGGAGGCAGGGAGATAAGAAGCAATCTATCCACCTGCCAAAGAGGCCAGGGTGACTTGGGCTGGAGCGTCACAGAGCCACCAAGGTGTAGCCCCCCGCCCTGGCTCCAGGCTCACCCATGCATGAGGGCAAACCCCCCTGGGGAATAGGCTTCAGAGTCGTGTGTGGGTTCAGGCCACAGTTCTGCCGTTTCCTGGCTGTGTGATCTCGGATAGGTCCAAAAATTTTGAGTTTTACTTTCCTCATCTCTAAAATGAGGAAATTTTTTGTTGTTAAATGATTTATGTAAGTAGTAGTAAAGATGAGAAGATTAAATGGAAAACAGAGTTTAAAATCCTTTCATGCCAATCGAGGGTTATACAATTGCTGATTTAATTCATCTGCCATTTCGTTTTCCGCCCTGCAGAAAATCCTTGTTAACCAAGTAAATGGTCAATTTTCCATCCGACAGGAATAGAAATCAGTCAAGTCAGCAACATCCCTTGGGTTCCGATCTCGGGTCAATAGGGCCAGATCTACAGAAGCAAAACTAAAAAATCATTTTGTTTCACAGAGTAGTTTCGTCTCCAAGGACTTCAATCCTAAAAATCTAAGTGAGGGGCTTTAAGGGAAGAAGAAAGGCCTTGCTTAGAGGTATCCAGTTAAAAGGGGCAGGGGGAAAAAAGCCGACAAAGGCATGCTGATTTTTTTTTCTACTTTTATTTATAAAGAACACGGCTCCTCCTCTTGACACAGACACAGACATTCACACACTCCAGGAGGAGCTCACTAAAAACAACGGCAAGGGAGGCGGGGGACGGCGGACCTTACTCAAGACCAGGCTGTGTGCCCGACTCGGGGATCAGGGAATGTTTCCTCAGATGTGACATCTCACCTCAAAGAAAGGAGACCTTGATCTGGAGGGTGCCCCACCCACCCATCAGGCAAAAGCTGCACCCTCAGTCTTCTGCATCGTCAAACTGTCCCGTTTCAAAGACCATCTTGGAATAATGGGGCATCAGCGGCGGTGGATGGTGCCAGCTGGGGTCATAGATCATGTCTCCTTGCGGGGCACAGCACACCCAAGGTCTGACCTCTTGAGAAAGGCAACCCTGGATGTCGTCAGCATCTGCAGGCAGTTTTAAAAGACAGATTACAGGAAGGAGGGAGGGTGAAAAGGGATAGCTGAAAAATCTAGTGGACAGACCCTTGCACTTTCTTGGCTTAAACACACTCACACACATACAGAGTCCTTCTTCTCTGAAGAAATGCAAGCACTTTCATTCATTCAACCCACAGTTCTGCGTCTCAGACATCAGTTCTTAGCAGCGCAGAGGAAGCAGCTAGTGGGCAGAACGCTTCTGTCTGCAGCTGCTCAATCCACGTGAAGATGTATGGAGAGAGTAACACTGGGTTGATGCTAAAACTAACCGATACATCACGTAATCAAATGCAAAACTGGCATTTGGCACACACCCCCTCCCATATTTAAAGAGAAGCTGTCACAGAAATTTCAGACCTGTGACAGCTATCAGGCTAAGCTCACAGATGTGGGTCCGTCTGCCTATTAAGAGGTTAATCTGGTAGGAGGGTCTCAGAACCCTGGCCAAGGGCCCCAGAAACCCCACACCTACCATATGGATTCCCCTGATCTGCTTTCAGCTCCAAGTCCCAGTCCTCGTTAAAAAGATCAGCAGCCTGTTCCTTGGGTGGGTGGCCAGACAACCCTTCTGACAGCTCCCAGGGATTCAGTTCCCCATCAGAATCTTCATCATCCACAGCAAAGCCTTCCTCTTCAGAATGGGCGCCTTCACCATGGGCAGGACTATCCTGAGGAATGCTCTGTGCGCCGCTGGCTAAGAAACCGACAAAATTTTTAAAAAGTCTTTGAACAACTGGCACACCAGAGGGGGCCTCGTTGTGTGCTTGGGGACGTTGGGGGAGACTTACTAAGAAGGCAGCAGTAAAAAAGTGGACAGAGTTCTGTAGTCACCAGAGCACTTAAAAAAAATTGTTCTGTTTATAGTCTTAGAAGTAGAGTTGATCAATTATTTTCAGTCAGATGCTTTGCCTGAAACAAGGCCATTAATTACCAGGTCTTCTAATTCACATGAGGAGTCAGGCAGCTCATACTTTCAGGCAGTTTAAATGTCAATGAGGCAAAGGGCCTCTGGCAAAGGATAAGCTTTCACAATATAGGCTTGAATTGAATTTTTGCTCTTCTGTCCCTCCCTTCATCCTCACAGAGCAGGTCAGAGGTGAGCCCAGGGCAGGGATGGGAGAGGAGGAAGGAAAGCAGCTGGAGAAGCAGAACCCACTGGTCACAATTCCTCTTCCCCTGATATCAGGGAGGGGCTGGAAGGGACAGTTACTAAAGGTCTCAAAAATTGGAAAAGTCTAGGGAGGGATGATGGACCTCCGAGCATTAGTGCTATGGTGATGCCACGTCAGAGCTGGGGAAAGAATCAGCCTAAAAACAGCCATGCTACTAACACTGTGTAATGACAACACCTACAAGCTATAAAGTTCAGGACTCGGGTTCCGGAGCCAAACTACCGGGGTTCAAATCCTAGCTCTGCCAATTACCAAATGCGTGACTGAGCTGGAATTTTCTCAGCAGACTCCTCAATAACTGCAACACAGGATGAGCAGACAACCCCGCAATTCCATTCCTAAATATGCACCCAAAAGAAGCGAAACAGGGCTTCAAACAACACGTCAGCAGGAATGTTCAGGGCGGCACTGCTCACAATCGCCAAGGGGTGGAAGCCACCCAAATGCCTCTCAGCTGATGAACGAGTAAACAAAATGTGCTGTCTCTATATGATGGAATAATTCGGCCATAAAAAGAAATGAACTACTGACACCTGCTACAACAGGAACCCTGAAAATATTACGCTGAGTGAAGGAAGTCAGACATAAAAGGCCACATATCATATGATCCCATGTCTAAGCAAGCCACATGTGCCTGTCCAGAATCGCTAAATCCAGAGGCACAAAGCAGATCTGTGGCAGCCAGGGGCTCATGGGAGCGGGTGATGGGGTGTGACTCCTCGTTAGGTACAGGGTTTCCTTTCAGGGTCATGAGGATGTTCTGGAACTAAACAGTGGTGGTGGCTGCACCGTACTGGGATGGTGCTAAATGCCACTGAGTTGTACACTTTTAAACTGTTAAACGGTAAATATTGTGTTATGTATCTTTTACCACAATTTTAAAAAAACGTTTTGCTCTGGAGCTCAGTTTCCTCATCTCAAATGCAGGTAGGATTGCTGTGAGCATTTTAAAAGAAAAAAAGAGAAAGAAACACTTAGAACTGTGCCCGACCCACAGGGAGTACTCACTAAGTGGCAGGTGCTATGACTGCTTTATCCAGACCAGCTCTATCCAAGAGAACTTTCTGCAGTGACGGTCACGTACTTGCTATAATCTGTGCCACCCAACGCTACCACGAGCCACGTGTGACTACTGTACACTTGAAATGTGGCCTGCATGACCAAGGAACTGAATTTTTCATTTTATTTCATTATCATTAACTTAGCTTTAAACAGCAGTTTATAGTGGCAATTACAGTTCCAGATCCTATCATTCCATCCTCAGAACCATCCTCTGATGTAAGTATTATTATCCCCATTTTACAGATAAAGAAAGGATAAGTAATATAAGGCCTCAAAACTCAAGCCCAGGGGTCTGATCCAGAGCAGAAAGTGAAAATAAGTTTGCCTGGCTGCAAAGCCTGTGCTTTGCCCGCGGCCCTAAGCTGTCTTCCTCGGTAGAAGGGATGGGTAAGTCCAGGACTCCCTTAAGGAAGCTCCAATACGGTTTCCAAATAAGGGTTTGGCTGAAAACCTAGGCAGAAAGGGCAACTGGGCAGCGAAGAGGACTGGTTACAAAGAGGAGGTAAGGGACCAAGACGTCCTCTTGTTGGGACTGTCCCCCTCGTCACTTCATCTCTCCCAACACCCACCCCAGCCCCTGCCATCTACTTGCCTAGTCGGTCAGTGGCCTTCTCAGTCTCTCTCTCTTGAACGGAGGGGTCAGCTGGGGCAAAGGCAGCCTGCGGGAAGAAGAAACCATTACCCAGGAAGTGGGTATCTGGGGTACACCCAATGTTTCAGGCCCACACCCACTCCCCCATAACCCCCACCCCCCTGCAAAGGTGAGGCTGAGGCAGGGACTCAGCAACCCACATTTCTGCTCTGTCCTGTTAACCTCCACAAGGCTGGAGGGAGAAGGGGCTCGCTTCTTCCTATTCCTGGAGGCATCACCCCTGCCACCAGGATCGCCTGCTGCCTTCCTAGAGGCCAATGAATCTAGTTTACAGTTCGCCAGCAGCTGCAGAGCCAGCCTCATGGCTGGGCCCTCTCTTGAAAGGTATGTGTCACAGGCCCTCGGGACCCCTCCTCCAAGCTCAGAGACTCCCACACCAGGGGATGCTGTGGCCCCTCCTCAGAGGGCGGGATTTCAGCAGGCTGCAAAGCCTCTCCTCTGAGCCTGTACATTTCAGTCATGCCAACCTTACTGCTTTGCTCCCTCAGCCCTCCGGCTGGGAGCGGTTTCCTGCAGTTGCTACTTCCATGTTCATTTTTACCTTTTCAGTTACTTAACTTTTTACCTAGTTAACAACTCTATCACACTGTCTCCTGACTGATAACATAGGAACAACAGACCTTTGGTTGTTGAAGGGAAATCTTCCCCCAGGGCCAAGCATATGCTTCTAAGCTCCCATCACTCAAAAGTTCTTGAAATCCTATCACCGGTAAGACCTCTTTCTAAGTGGAATAAGAAATGTTCAAGACCTGATTTCAATCCCATTCAGTAAGTGTGTACCTTGGGCACGTCACTTCAGCCACCATGCCTGGGTTTCCTTCTCTGGAAATTGGGGATGACTGTTCTGACCTTATAGGAGGTTTATAATGAGATAACATTTATGAAAATATCTAGCACAGAGCAGGAACAGAACATTTGTTGAATTTAAATCCACCTTTTTTGCCCCTACATCTAAACTGCACTTGGCACCTGCCCCAGTTAGCTTACGACTTAGTCATACCTGGATTTAATGAGTCAATTTAACCTCCTATAGTCAGTGACAACTCCTGGTCACTACTGCTGACCAGTAGTGGGACCTCTCACCTCCACCACTGCAAGAGCCCCTAACTGCCTTCTCACTCACCCACATTGCCCGGCCCTACACTGTTAACCACTGCTCTGCTGAAAACCCTCAAAGGCCTGCACTGCTGGAGCACAAAATTCACCATGGCATTCACACAGCCCCCTCATATGCCAGCAACCTATGGAGTACAGTCCTCTCTCCCAGCTCTGGGACCCAAGCTCCCAGCCATTTGCCCTGCGCTTCCCCGTCTCCACGCCTTTGCCAGGACCACCAGCCTCTCACCGTGCAGAGGAAGTGCACAAACCTTCCTGCTCCACCCTGACAAAATCAGTCTCGACCTATCTGCATCCCAAAGTAATTTTCTTTATAAGCCTATCACTACATTTTTGAAATCTTACTTTGATTAAGTACTTTCTTTGATGCTTAAACAAGCATTCCATTCCTCCATCCAATTAATAGGCGATGGTCCCAGGCACTATGCTAAATGCCGGGTTATCACTAAACAGAGGGTTCCTACCCTCAAGGAGCTGTCTAACAGGGATTACTGACTATCAACAGGGGTAGGTGATGACTGTAATAACGAACGGTCTTTGAAAAACCAGGAGATGCCTGGCAAGCAAATGAAAACAAGTTTCTGGGAACCCTGCGTCAGACGCGGCCTTTTGCTTGCAGTAAAGAGAAAAGGAGAGAACGCATGAGACATCATCTGGTGGTGCTCAGGGTTAGCCGAGCATCCCCACCGACGGACACAGATCCTTCAGGGAAAGTCCCTCTCCTC